AAGAATTATTTATGGCTAGGAAAGCTATTGCTATTAAATGGAAGAAATTGCTCCTTAACTATCTCAAATTATAGAATTTATGATGTTAATCTGTCCTAACATTGAATTGGAGATGAGCGGATCTGGTCCCCACACCATCACATTCATTGACTTTTGAGACACAAGTACATGTACTGTATGTCATGATTCATTTGAGACTGACTTTTTTTTTTTTTTACACTGAATGCTTCGCATTATACAACCTTGTAATCTAAAAGTAACACATGTTGTACTTTTGAAAGCTTATTTTTACAACTGTTTGCGTTAAACAAAAATGTGGCAAATCCATCACCACTTTTTTATTAGCTGTGAAAGTAATGTAAGCCAGGCTCTCAGAAATGTTCACTAAAACGTTCACTGACCCCCACCCAATGGGGAAAGGTTAGTCGGTTAGGACTAATAACACTGGTGAAGATTTCAGTTCAGCAAAGGCGCCTGGTGTTGTCGGGCAGTAAAGGAAGTTAGGAACACATTGGATTTCTGACAGGCTCAACAGGTGTTTTTCTCTACTTGCATCCATTTTAAAGGAACAAGACATGAAAAATGTGCATGCTTGTTGTATTACAGAGAAGTATTGAATGCTTTTTTTGCCCAATCATGCTTTAACATGTCATGAAAAAACATGGAGGCTGTCACTGCTGGTCGCTTTGTCTAAAAATACTTTTCATGTTTTTCCCCTTTTGCTTCAATGCTTTTAGTTACTTAGCTGTAGCAAGTGTGTACAAAGGATGTCTGACTTCACTGACATTCTTGATTGCTATACTTGCTCCAGACCATTTGATACTAAAGCCACTGGGTGCTAGCATTTTTAGGAGGACTGCAATGGCAGCCATTATGTTGCTTTCATGACATACTGTATTTACTTGAACGGGCCTACTAAAAGCTAATGTGTAAGTTTATTACTGCATATCCTTGCTCCTTGCACTGTGTCTAACACATGAAACCCTGCATGTCCATTAACTGAATAGCTGGATAGCTTGATAAACCTGCCTTTCTTTTACAGAAACTCCTTCAGGCTACAAAGAACGAGGACCAATCAAAGAAGGGGCTGACAAGAAACTATCATGCAGGTTTGATAGGAGTTGGCTTAGAGGTTGCTCTGGTTTAGAAGATCCAACCTATGGCTATAAAGATGGCAAGCCTTGTGTAATTATCAAGCTGAACAGGGTCTTGGGATACAAGCCAAAGGTAAGATCGCTCTTTTCAGTCCTCTCTGCAAACTTAATGTTTTTTTTTTTTTTTTTTTTTTTTTTTTTTTTTAATGAAGCTGAAATTTAATGCATGCAATTTTATTTTTTTTTTCAGCCCCCACAAAATGACTCTTTTCCTGCCATCCCAGGAACACCTTCCAGTTCATTTGTTATTCCTATTCATTGCGAAGGAAAGGTAAGAACATAATTCTACAATACTTAATAGTTTTATCATGCAAACATGCATAACCATTGATTTTAAAAGAGAAACACTGAAAGGGGTGTATTCCTTGAAGTTCATAAAGGAGTGCAGTGGTTTTTCAAATTGTCCTGCAGATACATGATACATTAGAAGGAGCCTAGTAGCATTGAAAAATGGGAGCTGCCATGTTTTGGAGGGCAGCTGTTGCAGTGCTGTTTGGTTTTTATTCACTACTTGAGTCACCAACCCAGAACAAATATATCCGTTACTGGGTATCCTGACGCTGAATATGAATATGCTTGTTCCAGTCCCACTGACTCAAGAAGTTGTGAAGGAAGGATAAGTAAAACAGGCCTGAAGCACGCACCTCAAATACCTGTTTGAAATGGCATATACCTTTATTTCTAGTGTGCAGTCTGTTCTGCCAAACTATTTTAAGGTAAATAAGGCTTGCTTGATGACTTGGTTTGTTGGTCCTGTAAAGCAATGGCATGAACTGGCCTTCAAAGAAGCTGGCTGATGCTCACTTAGTACATCTGACAGCTTGCATTCATATCTATACATGAGTGGCGCTGACATAAATGTTCAGTGCTACAGCAGACATTGTTATGAGTAAGACTGCACAGAAGTCCAATGCTATGCTGAAATACTGCATGTGTTGGCTTAGTGCATCTATAGAGACAAAAAGAAGACTGTTGGCCACATGCATGTCACTGCATCTAAAGGCACAGCTGGTGTCCATATACTTTGGGGATCTTCCTTATCCATCAGTTTCCACTTCATTGCAAAGGCAATAGCCATAACCATTTTCAGGTGTTTGGCCTGCTATATGAGAGTTCCATACTGCCTTCCTCTATGGCTGTCAACTGTGGGAGTTTAACCACTTGCCCTCCGGAGGATTTACCCCCCTTTTCTGACCACGCCATTTTTTGCCTTACAGCACTGCGTTATTTTAACTGCCAATTGTGCGGTCGTGCAACGCTACACCAAAATGAAATTTATGTCTTTTTCCCATAAATTAGAGCTTTTTTTTTTGGTGGTATTTGATCGCCTGTACTGTTTTTTTTTTTTTTTTTTTTTTTTTTTTTTTGTTTTTTTTTTTTTTTTTTTTTTGCACTATAAAAAAAATGACCAACAATTTTGAGAAAAAAAAAAACAATATTTTTGACTTTCGCTATTAAACGTGCATTAAAAAAATTGAAAAAAAAATCAAATTTCATCATAAATTTAGGCCAAAATGTATTCTGTGACATGTCTTTGCTAAAAAACAAAACAAAAATCCCTATATGTGTAAATTAATTGGGTTACGTGAAAGTTATGGCGGTATAGATACTGGAATTTTTTTTTTCTACTACTAATGGCGGTAATCAGCGACTTATAGTGGGACTGCGGCGGACATTCTGAAACTGGGGTGAACATCCCCAGTGACACCAATACAGTGATCAGTGCTAAAAAAACACTGACACTGCACTAATGGCACTGGGCAGGAAGGGGTTAACATGAGGGGCAATCAAAGGGTTAACTGTGTGCAGGGAGTGTTTTACTAGGGGGCGGGAGCAGTGTCCCCAAGCTGACAGGGAGGAGCACTGTTGGTAAACAAACCAGCCCTCCTCCCTGTCGGTGATGCTGTAATCACCGGGCGCCGGCGGGTAATCACCATCCGGGACCCGGTGATTGGCGGCCGCGGCATTTATACATGATTTTGTGCACCCCTGCCGGTCTGTAGCAGTATATCTGCTATAGGGCTGTGGGGAAGCGGTTAAACAAATATCTTTGCAGAATGCATCATTTCAAACTGTTACTGGAAATATATAACACACACAGTTGAAAGTCACTTATGCATATGAGTTCAGAGAGCCTGTGCTAGATCTAATACACTTCCTCTAATATACATAAAATGGATGGCAAATGTTGTGACCTGTAGGTAATTCAACCTTCTGCTGCCCATATGACTGATTGGTTTTGGAAGTTTTCCATCAAGAAAGTGATTGCAAGGAAACAAATTGACCACAGCAAACCACCACCTGCTGTTTCAGTTGATTCCCGCTTTTGACTTACCAATTGAAATTGAGGTAGAAATACATTAAAACCTATGCCAGCACCATTAAAATGGCAGTTTTGAATCATTTTCGCTTTGAATAGCCTTCAAACTAGAAAATTGACAGAGTGCTGTGCACTGGTCATTTTTTTTTTTTGCAGATGACATGCTTCCAAATGTGTTACCATTGGGTACTCCAAGCAGAACATTACAGTATTCTGATACTTCAGCTCTTACAGGATATGGGTAAAGCCTCACCTGCTTCATGATTTCATGATGTTTTTGGTGATTGCTTTCCTGACAATATTTTTATATGGATTCCAAGTGCTTGTTAATCTATAGCCAGATGTGTTTTAGAGGTAGTGGAAGAATAGTGCAGGGAAAAAATGGAAGGAAATAAATTTAGGTTCTGTGTAGGATACTTCAAACTGTGCTGCAGGGATATATTCTTTACAAGCAGTAAATGCGCTGCTTGAGAAGCACTGAAGGCGTTCTCCCTGCAGCCTTGATAATCTGTAATGTAAACACAGAGCAGGTGTTCAGAGAAGGGGTACCTAAGCTGCAGAAAGCCAACCTAAAGCAGAACTAAAGTCACAACACTTGCAAGTCCTTCTCCAACAGTTAATTATCTGCGAGGGTTCCCTCGCCGGCATCTTCCCCCAGTCTTCTTTTAGATGCCGATCTTTGGTTGTTTTGATTAACCGGTACAGGATGACGTAACTCATGCACAGGAGCTAGTTATCCTGGCACACAGGAACAGCACTGGTGATGTTAACTGATATGTGCACGGAAAACAAGGCATTTGCCTAGGGCGGCATTTCTCAGAAGGGCAGCACTGCTCCTCGGAAAAAGGGACAGAAGGGACACATGCGGCATGGGGATCAGGTGGGATCCAAGAGGCTGTGGGCTGCTTGATGGTGTATGCAGAGCCCGACTCTTGTTCCCAGGGATTCCCAGAGCTGTAAAGGTCAGTCTCTCTCCCTCTCTCTCTCTTTTCCCCCCTCTCTCTCTCTTTCCCCCCTCTCTCTCTCTCCCCCCCCCCTCTCTCTCTCTTTTTCCCCCCTCTCTCTCTCTCCCCCCCCCTCTCTCTTCCCCCCTCCCTCTCTCTCCCTCCCCCCCCCTCTCTCTCTCCCTCCCTCGTTCTCTCTCTCCCTCCCTCGTTCTCTCTCTCTCCCCTTCCTCTCCCCCTCGTTCTCTCTCCCTCCCTTGTGTTCTCTCTCTCTTGCCTAGGGCAGCACAAAGCCTAAATACACCAATGGTGCATGGCCAGGTCAGTGTAGATGGCACAGAAGACTGCGAGCAGGCAAATAGGTATATTTTATTGAAGAAGAGATATTGCATGTCTACCTGCTTGTAAACTTTAACTACCTGCCGACCGGAGATAGCCGAATGACGGCTTCACTGCGGCCGGCCAGTTCTGAGTGGACATCATATGACGTCCTCCCAGAACGCGCTCTGGGGCGCGCACCCCGGCGATCTTCGTGATCGCTGTGTTCTACGGACACAGCTGATCACGTGATTTGGTAAAAGGCCAATCACAGCGGCCTTTTACCACGTGATCAGCGGTGTCCAATGACACGCTGATCACAGGGAAATGCAAGTGCCGGTTCTCGGCTGCACTTTCCTCACGCTGTCAGATCGTGAGGAAAGTACTGCTGAGAACCGGCAGTTGTCAGAGCGGGGATCGGCACTGATCATCAGGGCACTGATGATCAGTGCCCTGATGATCGGTGCCCAGCAGTGCCACCCGCAAGTTCCGCCCACCTGTGCCCAGCAGTGCGCCCACTAGCCCCGCCCACCTGTGCCCAGCAGAGCACCCACCTGTGCCCAGCAGTGCACCCACCTGTGCCACCCACCTGTGCCCAGCAGTGCCACCCACCTGTGCCCAGCAGTGCCACCCACCTGTGCCCAGCAGTGCCACCCACCTGTGCCCACCAGTGCCACCCACCTGTGCCCACCCACCAGTGCCGCCCACCTGTGCCCACCCACCAGTGCCGCCCACCTGTGCCCACCCACCAGTGCTGCCAGTCAGTGCCACCAGTCAGTGCCCAGCAGTGATGCCAGTCAGTGCCGTCTATCAGTACCCATCATCAGTGTCACCTATCAGTGCCGCCTATCAGTGCTGCATATTAGTGCCGCCTATCCGTGACACCTCATTAGTGCTGTCTATCAGTGCCGCCTATCCGTGCCACCTCATTAGTGCTGCCTATCAGTGCCCTTTAGTGCTGCCTATCAGTGCCCATCAGTGCCGCCTATCAGTGCCCATCAGTGCTGCCTCATCAACGCACATCAGTGAAGGAGAAAAAATACCTGTTTGAAAAATGTTATAATAGAAAGAAAGAAACTTTTTTTTTTTCAAATTTTTTTGCACTTTTTTTATTTATAGCGCAAAAAGTAAAGCGCCCAGTGGCGATTAAATACCACCAAAAGAAAGCTCTATTTGTGAGAAAAAAATAATCAAAATTTCATATGGGTACAATGTTGCATGACCGCGCAATTGTCAAAGTGCGGCAGCGCTGTAAGCTGAAAATTGGCCTGGTAAATAAGGGGGTATAAGTGCCTGGTAGGCAAGTGGTTAAACAACTTCAATGTTTCTGCTGTGAATTTTGAAGATAAATTGCTCAACAGCACCTACAGCTACAAAGATTGATGAGGGCTTATTTAAAGCTTGTGTACTGCTTAAGATTATATTTAAAGTGGTTGTAAAGGCTGAAGGTTTTTTTACCTTTATGCATGAAGGTAAAAAAAACCTTCTGTGTGCTGTTTCCCCCCCCCCCCCCCCCCCAGCCCCCCTTGTATGTACCTGAGCCCCATCTTGATCCAGCGATGTGCATGGGAGCCTTGGCTGTCCTGGGTCTCTCTCTTTTGTCAGCAGCAGTGTCCAGCACAGTTAGTGAGCCAATTAGGAGAGAGAGTGTGGGCAGGGTCGAACTGTGGCTCTGTGTCTTATGGATGCATGGAGCGGGGTTTGGGAGCAAGCACACATCCGTGCCCCCATATCAAGCAGCTTGCTATTGGGGGCACTGATCAAGGGGGAGGAGCCAGGAGCGCTGACGGGGGATACGAGAAGAGGAGGCTTGGGGCTGCTCTGTGGAAAACAATTGCAGGTATGTATAAAAAAATTTTTTTTTTTTTTAATTTTTGTTTAACACCACAGCTTTTATTATCACTTGAATGTACATAGCATGGCCACAGGTTATCGTTGAGGCAACCCTGCTGAAGTTTATCTTGACTTGGCAGACTCCAGCCTTACTTTATGAAAAATTAGCATAATACTTCAGCTGTGTATAGCTCTGGAACTACTGATTTTATCTAATTTTAATACAATTTTTGTATTCTAGAAAGATGAAGATAAGCAGAAACTTGGAAACGTGACATACTTTGGAATGGGCGGATTTGCTGGATTCCCATTGGACTACTATCCTTACTATGGAAAGCTGCTACAGCCCCACTATCTTCAGCCCCTTATTGCTGTTCAATTCAACGTTACCATTGACACTGAAGTCCGCATTGAGTGCAAGGCATATGGGGAAAACATACATTATAGTGATAAAGACCGCTTTCAGGGACGTTTCGATATCAAGTTTGACATAAAGAGCCGATAATAGGCAGAGCCTGGGTAATACCATAATCTAAATTCAACTTAACAAAAAAGAAAACAAAAAAAAAAAACTTTTAGTCTTGAACAAACTGTCATGTATGGGACCTACACTAAATATATATGCTTTACACTAGCTTTCTGCATCTACTAGGGTTAGAATGTAAAATCAAGGTGTAGCAATAGCAACGAGTATTTATTATACTGTAAATTTAGAAAAAAAATAAATGACTTGAACCTTGGGACATGCCCATTTTGCTGTAAATTATAATTCCATAATCGAAATGTAGTAAGCAGTGTTTCTGGCCCCAGTATATATATTGCTACATTGTGTATTTTATTTTTATAGTGTACTTGTACAGTAGCATATGTGCAGACTCTACAGTATCCGCCAAGCCATGTTTCTGTTGTATGATCTTCCTTTATGTGATCAAACCTGCAGTCCAAGGTGTAAATACTCTATAATGGGAATAAAACTGGCATGGTATTTTTGTTTTTGTAAAAGATGGCCAACCAATAAGAATATTTAATAGCACTCCATGAAGTCATGTCAGTGTGGCGTTGATTTTATTTAGATAAGGGGGGGTTCTTTCCTGTTTTCTGTTTAGCTTCACTTACATTTATGAGGTGATGGTTTGTGCTGTGCTTTGTATTTAATGCATTTTTTTAAATTCAATCCTCCCCTTATTTCTTATTTTATGATGAAGGTGTGTTGAGGCCTGGGTCAGACTGTCACTTTTTTTTTTTGCAAGGAATAGGGCTAATTGTTTTGAGTTGTATGTTTTTGTTTTTTTGTTTTTTTTTTTCTTCATTTTTTCAGGAAGCATCAAAGTTCGGTGCTGTGTCTTTACAAATGTTTTAACCATTTTCATGGTGGAAGAATTTTATATTTATGCAGTTGTACAATTTTATTTTTCTTCAAGAGAAAAACTAATGTATGAAAAAAACCAAAGTCACGTGTTGAAAAATAAATCTTTATTTAAAAAAAAAAAATGCAATGCAGTATCCATAGGATGTATTATGTGTCTACTGTGTGCACATTGTTCAAACATCTGTAATATTTGCAAAGAGTACAGTGCTCTTTCAGTCAAAACATCAAGACAATAAAATGAATAAATCAATTCTCTTGTCTTCATCTCTTTTTGGGGGGATTTTAGTTGTCTAGAATTTTGAAGAAATATTGTACCTGGGGGAAAAAAAAGGAGAATTATTGCACATGCGAATCTGCGGTCATAAAACCCTGAATAATTAAACTCCCATGCAAATGAAAGCTGAATTGCTTAGATAGCAGTCAAGAATTGCTATTCATTTTGATAACCTGTGCTGGGAAATGCATATATTATGAACATAAATTTATCTTAACAATTTTGCTGGAACAGATAAATTAGTAGCACGGGAGGGAGAAAATACAGCTATGGTTTCCTTAACATATCCGAAAAAGTATGAATTGGTCATCTGGTGATCTCTGCTGAAGGGATTCAAATTCAGAATGTATAATTCTTGTTTTAAGTTGAGATCATGTGAGCAGCACCGAGGTGGGTCTGGACCACCATTCTCCATTTAGGCTTTTATGCTCTTTTGTTTTTAAGAGAACTGTAGCTTCATATTAACACTTTAAAACCAGCCATTTAATTCCAAAAAACAGAAGTTATCAGAAGTCGTAAATGTAACATGAGTGACATGCAAGGACTGCCACTGCTGACCTGCAACAAGTACACAGATTTAGGAGATCCGGGTCAGTGATTCAGTTTTGAGGTCAAAAGATCAGCATGACAGCTAGGCAATTACCCTCTTCAGAAGATCAGAAATCATTGTATTTTACAAGTCAATAATTGTGTTAGGCATACTTGCATTACCTGCACAAGAATGTTAGACCTAATCTATTATATAGGCAACATGTAGCACATATGACAACTATTTTTTTTCAGTGCTGTAAAACCCTCAAGTTAAACCCTAGCAGTTAATATTGCACATCTGCAGCAATTCTATAGCTTGAGCTGGATATACACCAACCAAAAATTGGTCAGTTCAGCAGTAACCAAACAAATTGCACTCTGTGGCTGGCTTCTGTTGAACAGTCCGGCTGGAAAACCAGCATTCGATCAGCACATGCAGTCCATGGCTGCAGCGCTGGTCTGTGTATTTTGACGGGGGAGGGGAGAGTCCAGAGTCCCTGCTGTCAGAATACAATAGTACAGTAGGTAGGATCACTTAAGATTATATGTGTGGATGCGGAGGTCTGTCAGGCTTTTTTAAAACCCTCCCTGTGTATACCCAACTTTACACCATAGGGAGCCATTTGTTCCATCTATTACCAATCCTTTGGTATTCTTCACTTAATAGCTTTAGGCAGTTTTAGTAGCAAGAATGAGAAATTAACAATTGTCTTTGAAGGATTGACCTTAAAGTGGTTCTAAAGTTAAAATGTTTTTACCTTGATGTGTTCCCTGCATTAAAGTGGTAGTAAAGTCTTTTTATTTTACTTGTACCTACAGGTAAGCCTAGAATAAGGCTTGCCTGTAGGTACTGTAAATATCTCCTAAACGTGTACGATTTAGGAGATATTTACTTGTAAAGCAGCACCGGCATGCATGTGCTCTGAAGGAACAGCATGCCCGTTCCGTTCCTTTAGAGCTGTGTGGCATAAAAAGTGACTCCCACATGAGGGTGTGACGTCATCGTGGCTTGGCCATTCAAGTCGCTATAGCCCTCAAACCTTAAAGAAGGACCGGGGGAAGATGGAAGCCCTGTCAGCGGTGAGAACGCTACTGGAGGGCTTTGTTTTCAGGTAAGTTTCACATAATGGACTAATTGTGATGCATACTAGCCCATTATGACATTACCTTGCAGGGGAAAAGTTTTTTTTTTTTTTTTTTTTTTTTTTTTTAAATTACAAGATTTACAACCGCTTTAACCACCGCCCGCCATATAAGGAAATGACGGGCGCAAGGTGGTTCTCTCATTCTGGGAGGACGTCATATGACGTCTTCCCATTTGGAGCAGGCAATTGGCGGTGCGCTGTGTCCCTTGGACACAGTGGATCAACGGAAACAGCCAAAGATGTCAGCTCAGTCATGTGATCAGCTGTGTCCAATCACAGCTGATCACATGTAAATAGGGAATTTACGGCATGTGTCACGCTGACAGCTCGAGAGGAGAGCCGGTAATCGGCATTCCGCGGAGGGGGACATGTACACAGATCATCAGAGCACTGATGATCAGTGTAGCCCCAGCAGTGCCATCAGTGTCCATCAATGCCACATATCAGTGCCTACCAGCGCACATCAATGCCACATATCTGCTCATCTGAGCTGCCTTTCAGTGTTACCTATCAATGCCAGTCGGTGCCGCCTATCAGTGCCATATGAGTGCTGCCTTTCCGTGCCACCTATTAGTGCCCATCACTGCAGCCTCATTAGCGCATATCAGTGAAGGAGAAAAAT